GCTGCCCAGGGAGGTGGCGGAGTCCCCATTCTTGGAGGTATTTAAGAAAAGACTGGAGGTGGCACTTAGTGCCATGGTTTAGCTGACATGGTGGTGTTAGGACAATGGTTGGACTTAATGATACCAGAGGGCTCTTTGAACCAAATTGATTCTGTGGAACCGGGGGGAGCTTGTATGGTACCCGGCTGTGAAGCCTGGGGAGGTGGTGGGGCCCTTATGGAACCAGGAAGGGTGAGCGCCCTGGGACACTGTGCAGTACCCTTGCCTTTCCCTGGGGAGTGGCATTTCAGTAATAGAAGTTTCCAGGCTCCACTGATTCAGCCCTTGGCAGGAGGACTTGTTTCTCCTCGCTAAAAACTCGTGCACTCTCTCTTGCATTGCTGACTTCACAAGTTTTCTAACCCTGTCATAATCCCTAGAGAGAAAGATCTCGACGAGGTCCTGCAGACACACACGGTGTTTGTCAACGTTTCCAAAGGCCAGGTGGCGAAGAAAGAAGATCTCGTTCAAGCATTTGGGACAGATGACCAAACAGAAATCTGTAAGATGGTAGGTTTCACACACCTTGCTTTATAGAAGCTTGGAGAAAACTTTCCAAATGTTTTACATAAGGGTCACACAGACATGGGAGGTGGATTTGCTACTGTAAAGTTTTCATACAGTGCAGTGCTGCTGTAGGTGAAAGGGTTGTTTATTTGTTAAGAAATCAGTAGAGAGAAGCGGTAACTCTGTGATACAGTCTTAGATCTTATATATGCACCTGGCTGAAAAGAGTTCTGAGTGTTCGGTGTAACATACAGCTTCTATGCACTGATGTCTACGGACACAGAAAAAAGGTTAGCCAGCAGTGAAGTTTCTTACCTAAGATACATTTTTAAGGATGCAAGGAAAGGAAGGGGATAGTTACTTACTTTAGACAGTTCAATTAAGTGTTAAGAACAGATCTAATTTCTTAGTCCTTCTTGGTAGAATATGAACTGTGGACTTGTGGGTGATGAGAATTCAAGTAAGTCTGTGCTTCTCTTTTTGTAGTTTAGTATTTCTGCAGTGGATTTTTTCATCTGAAGTCTTTCCAGTGTTGTCTGTCGTAATGATGTACGTTATTAATACGGTTATTTTTTTTCTGCACTTCACATCTAACCAGACCATTCAAGCAATTGTTAAATTTAAGAAAGTTTTCACTATTTGGTCAAATCTGTGATGTTTATTAACTGATTTCATTATTTCTACTGTACAGATTTTATCAAAAGGGGAGCTGCAGGTATCAGACAAAGAACGGCACACACAGCTGGAGCAGATGTTTAGAGACATCGCGACTATTGTGGCTGACAAATGTGTGAATCCTGAAACAAAGAGGCCATACACAGTAATCCTTATAGAAAGAGCCATGAAGGATATTCACTACTCTGTGAAACCACACAAGAGCACGAAACAGCAGGTTAGTTTTCTCACAAAGTCAGCTTCTGCCCAGAGGTGTTGTCTTCAAGTGTAATGTCTCCGTTAGCAGTCACAGAGGGATCAACAAAGCCCTGTGGTCTAAAGTCCACAGGGTGGCAGAGTGATTACTCAGCCAGCTGGCAGTTGAATGCTGGATACAAGCAGCTTATGAAACTCATGCACTTTGTTTTCTAACAATTCAGGGAAGGAAGAAAGAAAGAAACTGATGAAAACAGCGATATGCCTGGAACAGAAATAAAAGTTTTAGCATTTGTTTTAATTGAAGTAGTAAATCGGGATTCGCATCTGAGCCACATGGGTTTCTGTTGTTTTGCAGTATAACTGCTATTTAACATTATTTCAGACAGGTTTTTGAAGTATTTGAAGTGATCACGAACAACAAGAACTCTGCCTTTTCTTATTAATTTGTCAAAATAGCATAATAGCAAACTTCCAGCAGCAGAGCAGCAGTCATCAGTACTGAGAAATGTGTCTGAAGCGAGTGTGAAGGATTTGAGATTTTGATCGGTGTCGTGTTTTTTAAGCAGGCTTGTAAATGCTCTTCCTTACTGTCTTTACAGGCACTGGACGTGATCAGACAGTTAAAGGAGACCATGCAAATTGAACGTGCTCACATGAGGCTGCGATTTCTCCTTCCAGCAAAGGAGGGGAAGAAACTGAAAGAGAAGCTCAAGCCACTGATTAAAGTTATTGAGAATGAAGAATTCCATGAACAGTTGGAAATTGTAAGCAATAAAGCAGTCCTTGGGTTTCATACTTGATTTGACTACACATGTACGTTTTACTAGAAGATGAATTAATATATGGAAGTTGTTTAGATAAATGGCAAGTTTACCAGAGATTCTAAATCAAAGATGTAGTTTGTAGTTTTTAATTTCACACAGTCCTGGTGATGTAAGCTTGGAAGTAGCCTTTATTATACAGAGATTGCTGCTTCAAGCTGAGGAGAAGCACAGCAGAATTTCTCTTAGCAGTGATTATCCTACAACACTGATAAATTTCTCTGCATATACGGAATGTTATTCTTATTTATTTAGTGGGTCAGGCCTGTATTTTGGTAGTGGTTAATTAGTTTTTAAAAAAGTAGTCTGTGGTAAAGCAAAATTTGGTATTGGTAAAAATTGCCCTGAGAACAAATTAGAATCTAGCAATCCCAACTGTCAAAAGACACATCCAACATGGGCAAATGGAACTGCAGAAGCTCTGTGAAAAGATTGCTTAACAGAAATCACATGTCAACTCTGCAAAGTCGTTCCTAGGAACTCAACGGTTGGGGTTTTTTAAGTTAAAATTAATGGTAGACCTTGAAAAGGGGCTGATGAAAATCCAGTATTATGACTTGACTGATGAAATGTGAAACATTTCAGGTGTGCCTTATTGACCCTGGCTGCTTCAGAGAGATTGATGAGCTGATCCGGAGTGAGACAAAAGGGAAAGGAACACTGGAAGTGCTCAGTCTGAAAGACGTGGAGGAAGGAGATGAAAAGCTTGAATAATGAAAACCTTCCTGCAGCAGTTCTACTTTAACAGCATCCTACGAAATGACTGGTGTTAGCCACTCTCTTCTGTTAGGCCTTCCTTTTTTTTCCAATCTCTTGCTGCCAGATATTTTCTGACACTAATCCTTTGGGATTTTTCCATGCAGTGTGGGGTTTATTTTTTTTATAATTTTACACTTGCTTAGTTTACCAATTTCTTTGCGTGCAGGAACGTTTTGTGTCAGAGTTGCACTAACAAAGATTGAGTTAAGCCGTGATTCAGAAGGTACTCTGGCTTTGGTTTACTTTAAGGGTTGCTATCGGAGGGTGTTTGGCTGATATGGTGCCAATCATTTTTACTTTAAGTTGTCAGTGTTGAGTGGAAGATTGCATTGGTCACTGGGGGGTGGGTTTCATATGTGAGGAGAGGAACCTGAAGAAAAGAGAGCTTCATTTTCCCTTCTGAAGAGGTGCAAAGTGCAGATCGTGTCTAAAAACTGATCTCTTGGCAGCACGAAAACTGACTTAGACTTCCATAAATAGCTGCTTGATAATTAGGGTACTTTAAAGGACCATCCTTAAAGATTTCCTTCACTGGGTGTAACAGTACTTGCTGACTCATCCAAAACGTTACCCAAATAACTTATTCCTAAAGTATATTTAGCTACATTAATAAAAATGAATTATTGTCTATTTATATATTATAGATACAGAAAGAAAATTATTTTTGTTGCTAGCATCGGAGGTGTGCTTTCTGTAGGCTGAAAGCTTAGCCTGCGCTCATGAGCTGTTCTCGTTCACGTGATAAAATGACTCTGGAACAGGCAGTGGTGGCCTCTGGCCATTGAGCTAGTCAGGCTTTTGTTGGGCCCTAATTCATGAGTGGTCCCTGTTTATATGTGCCCCTTTTCTTTTGAGTGTGGTCAAGAACAATTCTGGCAGCTGTCCTTTATCCTTTGGCTTTTTTTTTTTTTTCCGCTGCTTTCTAATACATACACAGAATTTCCAGCCAACCCCTGAGGCACGTTCTTGATAATTGTGTTCAACCTTATTTCAGCTGTGTTAAACAAATGCTTTTAAGTTAAACTTTCAAAGAAGAGGCCAAGAGAGGACAGCAACTGGAGAAGGAGATACTAAAACTACAAACCAGCAGGCAAAGGAACTGTGCTTGAGTGACTAATTTAAGGAGGAATTTGAGGAACCTTTAGGATTACGGACGTGTTTCCGTGCTGATAGTACACAGCAAGTCAGGAGCTGCAGGCTAGCCGGTGACTACATCTCTCTCCCAGACGAGCACGCCTTGTGTTCCTTGTTTGCTGTTTACTTTTAGAGCGCCTGGCTCTGCCTGTTAGATGCCAATTAAATGGAGCTCTCGTTTGTAGTCTTGGCGTGACCTTTTCCCTTGTACCATTAACACGTCGTGAATTTTCCAGAATTTAAGCAGGGAGAGTTGAAGTCAAGTGGAGTGGAAGAGGAGAGGTTTGACCTGCCAGATGTGGAGGGCCTGCGGGACTCGATGCTCAGTCAGAGGCTTCCTCTTGGAAGCCGATTTCTGCAGCAGTCTATTGACACCAGCTTGTGCCAGGTTGGGTTAAATTTCTTTAGTAATATTTTAGAAGGGCTTACCACTATAGAGTCTTGAGTTTTGCTGAGGGCCAGTGAAATGGAGATTCTTGAACCGTTTTACCCATTGTAAAATACTTTCTCGTGCCTCCGAGGTAATCTTCCATGGTGTTTAAAGGCTGCCTAGGAAAGTTTAACGGCAGAATTACTGTACTGGCCATGTGGACACAGCCTCGGTGTGGGGACCCCTACATGCATGGACAGATTGGCAAGGTTCCTCCTGTGTGCAAACCCTTAACTGCTTGTCTTTCAAATGGCCATCTCTTCACGCATACTTTATGAAGCACCGAAGATGATAATGCGGATATTTAGCTTGTCACTGGCAATCGGCGCTAACAATTCATAAATCTGAAAATGAGACACTGAGTAAGAGCCTCAGATGATACAGAGTCGGTAATACTTGATTTCACAATCCTGTCATTTCTTTGTTTTCTGTGTTCAGCACCTGGAGCACAATAGGATGGCTGCAGGTTAAAGATCTTGAGTTACAGAAACTTAATCGAAGCTGAGTTACGAGCTTGGTGCTAGGAAGGCAATTTCCTTTGACAGTCTTTTTCTGCAAATCAAACTCTAAGGATTTTCTCTGGTAGAGGGAGCTTGATTTTATCTCTCAACAAAGAAATGTACACGCTTGCGTTTCTTGTCATGTGTGTAGTTCAGCAAGAATGCATGGTGAGCATCAAAATAAACATCAGTATTGGTAGCCGGTTTGTTCTTGCCCGTGGCAACAGGAGCATAACTCCCTGCACAGCCGTTCCCTGGCTAATTAACTGAAACTTCGGAAGCTTTCTATCTAGGTAGTAATAGCCTCCTCTTGTCGTTTGAAATCAGCTGGCAGTTAATGAATCTGTTGCCTGCAGAGGTTGTTAATTAAGCTGTTACCTTCTGAACGGAGAGGAAGGGACTGTGGGTGGTGGTGGCTGAGTGGGAGGTGACGGCCAAGCAGGAGATGTGCGGTGTGCAACAATGGCAGGTGCCACGGCGAGGTGTGGGGAGCTGGGCTCCATCTGTGCTCCCCAGTTGTGCTGTCTCCACCAGGCAGTGAAGCCGTGATGGCTGCCCTGCGTGCCATGGGGCTGGAGGGCCAGGGCTGGAGTGCCAGCACAGCACAGGGCTGGAAGGCAAACTGCAGCCAGCGGCTCCAGGAGCTGGGCGCCACCATCGCCTCGCAAGGTGCTGCCGCTTTGGCTTGGTGGGGACGGCCCGGGGCGGGTGGGGGGTGGCTCTCGGTCCCCCCCATCGTCCTGCATGGTACCAACGGCGCCTTCATGTCCTCCAGAGCGAGGGAGGAAGCTTTTTGCCCGGTCGTGTGAGGAGAAGCTCAGGCAGAACAGAGAGCTGCTCTCTTGCCTACGTGAGGCCGTGCAGGAGGACGTCCATGCCTTTGGCTTGGTGGGGACGGCCCGGGGCGGGTGGGGGGTGGCTCTCGGTCCCCCCCATCGTCCTGCATGGTACCAACGGCGCCTTCATGTCCTCCAGAGCGAGGGAGGAAGCTTTTTGCCCGGTCGTGTGAGGAGAAGCTCAGGCAGAACAGAGAGCTGCTCTCTTGCCTACGTGAGGCCGTGCAGGAGGACGTCCATGCCCTGGAGACTGCCCAGAAGGTACCGGCCGGTCCCCTCTGCCGCACCCCTGCCTGGTGCTGGCCCTGCAGAGCCAGCTCCTCCACCGCTCCTCTGCAGGAGCAGGCAGCACAGGGCAGCA